ATACTTTATTTATTTATGTGATTAAAATTATGTAGTTGCCTATTTCACAAGCTGTCTCTCAGCAGCATACAATGAAACAGTTAAAAACAAAGCTAAAACAACAATTGAAAACAAACACAAAAACAAATAAGACTATGGAGAATGAATTAGCATTCTATGTTCAATGGAACCATCTCATGGGCTTCAAATTTCTATGGGATCCTCAGGCCTGTTTGAAAAACCATGTTTTAAGGATTTCCTGAAGGCCAATTGGGTTGGGGCCAATCTAACCTGTTCCAAAATAACCTGAAGCTTGCCTCTTCAGTCCTATCAGATAAAATTCTTTAGCAGAAGTGATCCCTAATATTCTCCTCCTGCTAGATCTGATGGGATGGGTAGAAGTAATTGGGAAGAGGTGGTCCCTGAAATAACCTGCCCCCATGCTATGTCAAAAACAGGATCTTAAAGAATCAAAAAGCAAGCCGGCAACCAATGCAGCTTGCAGAAATGTAACATGTATTGTTCTAGAAATACTCATAACTACCAGTACTGCTGCATTTTGCCTTAGAGTCAAAGGTTCTAGAACAGTGTTTCTCAACCTTGACAATTTTAAGGCATGTGGACTTCAGCTCCCAGAATTCCACAGCCAGCATTGCTGGCTGTGGAATTCTGGGAGTTGAAGTCCACATGCCTTAAAATTGTCAAGGTTGAGAAACACTGTTCTAGATGCTCTTCAAGAGCAGCCACATATAAAGTGTGTCCCAGTAGTCTACTCTTGAGATCATCAAGGCATGAGTAACTGTGAATAGGGCCTCATGAACCAGAAATGGGTGCAACTGGCCCACCGCACATATATAGTATAAATGTGGAAGAACTGAAATTTCTTTGACCCAAAGTTGGCTTGGCATATGATTTTGCTCCGTTTTTTAAGAGTAGAGTGCAACATCCATTCTAAAAGTCATCCTACTAACAATGCCATAAGTTGACACTGTAATGAAATTTTCTGTAGATAGCCAAGCCACGTGCTATTAAAGCATTCTTCCCTGCTGATACACTACCCAATGGAACTTTGAACTGATGTAAACCTCAACAAGACAATTATAGTCGAGTTTGGAATGTGATGCAGAATAAATTCAGCCCAAAGGGGCAGAGAACAAGCTAGATTTTTTTTAAAAAAAAATACTTATATCCCCCTCTTCTTGATGATTCAGATTCTCCAAGCTGCTCTAAAGGCGAAATAAACTGGCCCTTGAAATTGTGTTCTGCTTGAAAATTAATAGTGGCTTAGAGTAATCAATTACAGTCGCAATTTGTCTCATACTTTTTTCCTGGCAATTCTTTTAGACTCCAAGCATATGGCACCACAAACTAATTATAATTTAACTGATTTGTGAATGGCTGCCAAAGTCACTAGAAATAAGGCAATGTTTAAGCAAACAAGAGCTTTTTTTTTTTTGGCAATGATATATACAGTGTATGTGTGTGCGTGTTGTTTTCTTAAATGCCAGCTTGAAATGTGCCTTTGACTTTTATAACTACAAGTATCACAAAATGTGGAGTGGCAAGTTATCCAGGAGATTCTGGCTTTTAAAGGCATTGCTACACCGATACCAGAATGTGAAACCTAGTTGTGAAGCTGAATTCTAAGTAAGGGATGAGATGGTTGTGACCTCTGTAGAACAGTCTCTGCTGTGTAGCTTGAGCTGCTCAACTTGGTGGACAAGCTGACATTTGCTATCTTCTCATTTGTTCAAATCCTTCTTAAAAAAAGGTACCCAAAACTGGACGCAATCCTTGAAGTAAGATCTGATCCATGCAGAGAAAGTGAAACTATGACTTCCTTTGATTTAGAAATGATACTTCTGCTGATGCAGCCTAAAAATGTAGTTGATCTTTTGCAATCACATAAAAAAGTAAAAGTTGTCATGTATGTAGCTTTCAGAAACCCATTTTCTCCATAATTGTTGATGTTTTCAATCAGGCCAACAGAATCTGAAAGGAGCAAATGAGTGTCATTTTTAAAAAGAAAAAAAAAATAGATACAAAACTGTTGTCCGTTTTTCTCTCATTTTTTAAATTTTGTGTATTCTGTTTTCCTTAGTAAAAATGGAAGCATTTGCCAAGACGTTTTAAGTTCTGACCCCTAAAATCTATATATCCATCTCTTCTTTGGTTTCCTAGATTTCAACACTTCTTGCTCAATGTCAGTCTTGTGGGGTAGTCCAGACAAGAAGCTCACTCAGGAGTACTAGTTCTTACCTTTAATGTAAGGTTACATTAAGAGAATCTTGCAAGTCTGAAAATACATCTCTCCCCCATTTCTTTTACAGTCCAAGCAACTAGGGAGAGTCTCTCCTGAGATGTTTTCCGCATTGCCCCCCATCCCTTCTGCAGACTCAGCTGCCACATGTCTGACCTTGGTCTAGTCCAGAGGTCTCCAAACTTTGCAACTTTAAGACTTGCTGACTTCAACTCCCAGAATGCCCTAGCCAGCCACTTATGGATCTTCCTTCTGTCTCCCAAAGTCATTCCTATACAGTATGTCATTACACCACATATCAAGCATTCCCATTCAGCCATGACAGACAAAAATCTGCTTATTGAAGTGAAAAATAACATTTTCTGCATCCATCTTCAGCTCTGGCCTTAGCACTACTGTGTTTGAAGGATTAAAAATCCTTAGAAAACACCAAAAGTTCATTTCAGCCAAGTTACCCAATGTTGATTACAGATGGCTTCTGAAGCCATGAAAAGGAATTTCACTGGAGAGGGCCTCTGAATTTGTGGGAGAATACATAGATAGAAATGTGTGTAGGATCTGGTCAAGAGGTCAAGAAAGCAGATAAGACAGTACAATTGAAGCTCCACCTTCTCTTATGTAGGTCATATAGCTGGAGTTTAGATGGTACAGCCATGGCTGCCAGGTTTTTTTAAAATCAAATTTAAGGACACCCCTATACCACAGGTTTTGCTTTATTTTTCATGATATTGCATCTCACTGCCCATCCAGTTGTTACTTCACAACCTACACCAGCTCTAGGTGTTTTTCCTATTAGCACAGAATAACTTGGAAGGGAGACACAGAAGACTCCACTGTTATTTAAGAAAGTTATTTATTCTGCATCAAATTCATTAATCAGATAATTCACAGCAGCCCGGGGGATATTTCTTTCTGTTCTTTTTCCCCAGTCTCCTTTTAATTTTTTTTCTCTTGCTTTTGTTTTATGATAATGCGGTGTAACTGGCAATTTAGAGTAAATTAACAGGGTCAGTGGGAAAGAAGAGAAAGGTGTGATGCTATATGATGCAGCATTCTCCATCCTGCAGTGTTGTTGCTGCTTTTAAATGAACACCAAACAAATATCTCAAACATGGATCTAAATATTTGAAGTGTATGCTTTAACATATTCCAGAATGTTGGCTCTTAAGCCAGTCAGGGAACAAAACCAAAACATAATCAAATGCAAGTCCGTCATTTGAATAATGACAGTGGCAGAAGGTCCAAACTAATGCCAGGGAAAAAGTCACATGTATTGCATTACCTTCTCCTAATGTATAATAAATTACAATTATATCCTTTCCATTTTTACAGGGACACAAATTGAAATGCATTTTTTTTCTTTCCATTTACTCTAAAATAACAGTCCCCATTTTTTTCCTCTTTGTGCACAACTCTGTAGCATTACAAAAGCTTTGGTACATGAAACACCCCCAGCTATTGACTATTACAAGATCCCCAAATTAAATAAAAATGAATTTTAAAAATACTTAGTTAAAATGTTGCAAGGCTGCCGAATTGCACGGTTTTCCCCACTGAAATTCCATGGGAAATTGTGTAAGATGAATTGATCATCTCAGTTTGGGGCCATTTTCATTTAACTTTACATTTTGGCATCTGCACCAGAAATCATGTGTAATGCCTTTAGGAAACACCAAAGGTGTGTGGACCACACACTGGGAAACCCTGTTCTAAAACCTCCTGGACTGACAGATTGAGAGATAGCAACAAAGCCTAAAGTCATTTGGTGATGAGTTTCATGGATGATTGTGGATTTGAACTTGCATAGATTCTGGGGGAGAATCCATTTATATAGCACCAAGCTATAAATTGGGACATCATGAGTTACAAAGCCATCTGGGGGGCGGGGAGTCTGGGAGAGCAAACTCCGTTCCCTTTTGACATTGAAGATGTTACCTTGTCCCAGAACAACCAACCTCAAAGAACACCAAGGACTCCACAGTTCAACCCTGAGCTACACAGATTCTCTTCTGTTGGGTGACCTTGGGCCAGTCCTCTCTCTCAGCCCTGGGAAGAAGGCAGTGGTAAGCCACTTCTGAAAATCTTGCCAAAAAAATTGCAGAGACTAATCTAAGCAGTTCCCGAGAGTCAACACTGACTCAAAGGGCAAAAATATAAACATTGTCAGTGTAAAAAAGAAATGTTCCATGAAGCTAAGGACAAGTTGTCACTTGTTATCGTAGCCAAGATTCTGATTGAATCACCTCAAAGTTGGGTTTAGTTGCCTGGATGGACCCAATAAAAAAATCAAAGCCTCATAGCAATATTTGTGTGTGTTTTTATATATTTGTTCACATTTCTTGAGAGGTAGGTGTTCTAATGAACTTTTCCTTCTTTGTATATTTTTCACAATCAGTTTTTCTGTAAAGAAGAAATACCAATTGGGTTAAATTGTTGCCATCTCTACTATACACCAATGTCTTAGGCTTAACTGTATTCCCAAGTCAGCAACCTGAAGCCAACAGGCCGCTCACTCTTTGCTTCCATTTTTGGTGTCCAGAACAATTCCAGATCACACTGTTGAAACTGAATAGCAAAACAACTGATTTTCAACAACTTTTTTTTTGTTTGCTCCCCTGCTAACATAACAGACTAAATGGATTGAAATAATAACACACTTCTTAGAACACAAAGTAGTGGAAAGGTCTAATGAGCAGGGAACAAAGAAATGCACTTTCTGATTGTTTTCTTTTAATGTAATATTTCTCATTCCTTTTTTAAGAGTCCACTTATCGTCATCAAGCCACCATTGATGATGAAGTTGTTTCCATGGAAATACTAGATACAGCTGGGCAGGTAAGAACACTGCTGATCCCTGTAGCAAAATGCCAATGTCAGAAAACTATAATTAGCACTAGAGGAAAGTTGTCAAGTATTTATGGGTGGAATATTATAAATGAAATATTATTAAAGGGACAAAGGAGAATAATCAAAAAATAGTAGGCCAACTGTGAGAGAGTACGAAAGGGAAGCTTCATAGTCCTGGTAGTTTTAGTGTTTCTTACAATAGCAGAAATCTCAACTATTGTAGAAAAATGTGGGCTAGGACAGTTTTAGGAAACATTATTATGGGATGTTTCACTCCATAGAATCTAAAGATTCCACCCTGACTCGCTGCAGTTGAGAGTAAGCCCCACCAAGTCCAGAGGGACTGATTTATATATGATTTATATATAGGATGGGAGGTCCTATATGAATAAGTAAAATGAGGAAGGGATTTTAAAAAGCAGGAATACAAAACAAAGCTAAAACTGCATCCCTGGTCTATACAGAGTAGATCTAAGCATTGAACCTTATTCTTTAGACTTTAGTCTTCCAATCAAAATAATATTTTTCAACTTGCATATAATGCTAATACTATTCTTGAACTGGTATTGTTCTCGTTTCAGAAATCACATTTAAAAAAAAATATAAATTACAATTGGTTCAGAGAAAAAAAATGATAAAGAAAGCTGGGGATGGAGCCTTCCTTTCTTTCTTCCTTCCTTCCTTCCTTCCTTCCTTCCTTCCTTCCTTCCTTCCTTCCTTCCTTCCTTCCTTCCTTCCTCCCTCCCTTCCCAGATTTATCTAATGACATTTCCTTCCTTCTTTCCCCCTCCCTCCCTTCCTTTTTCTCTTTTTCCTTCATTCCCCCCCCCCAATAATTTTGCTCAGAAGCAATTGGAGGAAATATTCTGACATGCATGGAAAAGTTCAGGAAGATAAAGTCGTTTCTAAGGAAATTTCATCCATTATAGAAATGTAATTCTCCACTGACATTAATCAGATAAATAAAGAAATCCTATCTCTGTCATCGGGACTTAGTGGCACAGCTCTCCACTCCCTAGGAAAATTATGGAAAAGAAGGAATTGGCAAACGTTTGTAGAATTTCCCAACTGGAACAAAGAGATACTGATATTTTATCATTTACCACTAACAGAAGAGCAAGAAAGAAAAAGCCAGCAGCCCCTGTAGTGTTTTTCCATCCACGTGTTTATGATGATGAAGAGTAATATTTGAAAAATTGTTTAATTTTCACATCATTTCACATTTCATGCACATAATTAAATGTACGAAAGTTCTGAGTGGATAATAACTTTGCAAAGACAGGCCAGATGCCAGAGATCTGTCTTACAAACAGCTGAATGCCAGAGTGAAAATGGAACTCCTGATCTATATATAAATGCAAAATTCAATGAAGGTCACACTAAATTTCCTGAAATGTCACATGCTTATGCCAATAATGTGATTGAAATATTTATCAAGGTATTTATTTTTTAAATGGTATGACATTTGCTGCACATTCTTTTTCCACAAATAGATTTTTTTTAATGTTGCATTCAGTTTTTTGAATCTTAACTTCCAGTGGCTTATATCATTGTAGCTGAAGTAATTAAACTTAGATGTGTTTTTTAAAAAATCTGTTTATATGCAAAACTAAAAGATATGGAACCTGTAGCCCTCTAGAGAATGCCAAACTACAATCACCAGTATTACTGTCCCCCTGGACCTGCTGGCTAATCAAAATGTACAATATATTTTGCAGTCAGAATGTTCTAATTCCAGAATGTCACATTCTATCCTCAGAATAACGGTTCTGAATTTAATGGAAATGGACCATCCTGTAAATCAGTTATTCCAAAGTCAGAATATTATAAAGCAAAACATTTTGCAGACCTCTGTTAATTAGAGCAGCTGAAAGTTACAATGTCAGGGAATTGTGCAGCAGGTGTTCAAATGAAGTCATGTCACATGTACGTGTAGTTTTATATAAATATATTTTACATCAACATATGCAACAAACTAGAAACAGGAGCATCAAGAGGTAAATCACAGAGCATACAGGGGACACAGAAGAAAAAAGACGGGGGGGGGGGAAAGGGAAACTCCCCCTCCACACCCACAGCTACCAATCACAGTGCAGATTGCCTCACACAATCAACTATAACTTGTGCTCTGGCTCACTGCACAACCCCACTGCTCCATCTACAAAATTTAAATATTTTAACATACAATTTGGCAGCTTCTAAAAAAACACAGGTTCACCGTACCTGGAGAAGCAAATGCTAAATTCAAAAATAATTCTAGTTTTTTTCAGATCTTCAAGTCTCAAAGACAATTCTTCAGTCAGATGTGTATAGCTATTTTCATCCTCAGTGGAACTATTTCTCAATTGAATAGATGAGATTCATATTCCATTCCTTAGAACAACCATCAATTAGTGTAACTTCGTCTGACCATAATAGCCAGGCCATGCAAAGCTAAAAAGGGATGAACCATTATCTTTAAAAAAAATGCCAAGATGTTAGAATAATACAGTGGTCTAAAATTGGGAACAAAGATATTTCAGTTCTGGTGATATTCTCTTGGATGTGAACACGGGGTTATTAATGTTTCTCTCCAAAAGTATCCAAGAGAACGTTGCTTTGTGCAGCTATGTATCTATGTATCCTAGAGAAGTTCCCCAAAATATAACATCACATAGAAACTCTGCTATGCAGAGGTCTCTAAAATCTATATGAATCTTGTCTCCTGTAGATCTGCCAAACAACTTTCTTCTTTCTTTGTCTGTTTTTTTTTTTTAAATAGGAGGATGTTATTCAGAAGGAAGGACACGTACGATGGGGTGAAGGATTTGTGCTGGTGTATGACATCACAGATAGAGGCAGCTTTGAAGAAGTCCTTCCCCTAAAGAACTTGTTGGATGAAGTCAAAAAACCCAAGAACGTTACTTTGATCCTAGTGGGGAACAAAGCAGACTTGGACCACTCCAGGCAGGTCAGCACTGAAGAAGGGGAGAAGCTGGCCACTGAACTAGCTTGTGCCTTTTATGAATGCTCTGCATGTACAGGAGAAGGCAACATTATGGAAGCTTTTTATGAGCTTTGCCGGGAAGTGCGACGTCGAAAAATGGTTCAAGGCAAGACTCGGAGGCGAAGTTCCACTACTCATGTGAAACAAGCAATTAACAAGATGCTTACCAAAATTAGCAGCTAAGATATCTTCTTTTTTCCTTTCAAAAGAAGTACATTTTGCAGGAAGAGGGAACAGAAGGCTTAACTGTGTTTGTCAATAGGATGGTCAAAGCTTTGCGTTATTATTATACAATCACCTCATTATTCTTGAAGTTAAGAGATGCAAAAAAAAAGTTTCAGGAATGGTAACACATGCTCTACTCCAATTTTGTTGATCACCATCTCATATCTTCAAAAAAAGATATGTCAAAGATGTGTCAGAATGGATTCAGGAATTTACCCACCACAGATGGTTTTGCATGCTCACATGTGGCTAATACATGGTGACATTTATCATTGTCTAATACATTAGACATTTATCATTGTCTAAAAGTAGACTATCAAAGCTTTATGGGGTGCAATAGCTGACTAACTCTGGTAAGTGCACTACCCATTCACTCCATAATCCCTGGTCATGAGACATCCAAAGAAAGCTGCCACACAACTTCATCTAGTTCAAACATCCAGGCAAGGAAAAACATGTTAATGATGGCTGTGTGAATCAGTAAATTACAGTTTCACTTAATTTTGCCTTTTTTTAAACCTTACATTCATTTCCTTCTACACCTGCATTAATTTGCAATTTTAAAGAAAATTTTTGCATAATTTCAGGCACATTTTTGTAGAAAGTTTCCTTGATAGATATAATTTTAGATGGCATTTATACAGTTTCTGTGCAAGCAATTTTCCCCCCCCCCCAGTGATATTATAAATACTTGACATGTGCTTTTCAGTTGCAAACTATAGTATATTTGTAAGAATGCATTTGGGGAAGTATGAATTATATAAGTGCCATCACTGTTTAGAGCACTGTTAAAAAACTGAACATAAGTCCCAATGAAGGCAATATTCTTTTGATAGGTCTGTCTCCTCATTCTGAACATGTTTCAAAAAAAATCCTAAAATATAAATATATGTATGAACATGAAATTATGGTTTCTCTAGCAACATTTCTCCAAAAGGAAAATGTAACCAACTGGATTTTTTCAGCAGTTTTGTATACTTTATGATTCTCCCTACTAAGATCCTGGCCGAGTTCACATGGCACATATCCTTGGTTAACTTAACTATGGATTCATTAATTCCTAGAAATTGAAAGGGGTCATTGATGTCATTGGGCCTATTTTACCTTATCCAAATGAAAGTATGATGGGTTAACGTTCTGCTTGAACACATTGGGGAAAAAAATTGCACTGTCTCTGTGGACAAGTATAAACTTAATTTGCTTTATTAATCCACTTTTCTGGGATTGCTTGATGTTAAACCACAAACTACACTGCCTCAGAATTGCTAGCCTAACATCTGCTGAAGTAGATCACAATCCAATGTGTGCATTCAACTGCATTCTATGTGAATTCTAGTCAAGGTACAAAATCTGTTTCACAGAACTGCATTTTCATTGGCTCTTCAAATCTTTCTTTATCCATAAAAGTCCATTGGTTTCCCTCTGGCTGTTTTTTTTCCCCTGCCTCATTCCAGTGAAGCTTGCAAGATTGCCATAAGCTTGCAAGAGGTAACTGGTTGGAAAGCAATTTTGAAACGTTGTAGGGAAAAATGCAAGTGCTTTTAATAATTTGTGGGTTTCTTATAGTCAGATCTCCTTGTATGCTGCAGCAAAAGATTTCTATTCCTCCTTTTGCCTCTTCCTTTTTTGCTCATTCTTATGTTTCTAAATGATGTGACACAAGGGTACTGTAGTGTAAAAAAAAATAATAACAGTCGTAGATGCTTTTTGGGGGGGAGGGTTGAGGATTCAGACAGTACAGATGAGTGACATTTGAACCAGTTCTAAGTAAATACAATCCATTCTCTTTCATTGATTAGGCATCACATGAATTGTGGCAGGCAGCCAAACAGGAAATGACTTGGAAACCCCTGTTATCTTTCATTTGTGCTGTAATGATTATTCTCCATGTTATTTTTCTTTTATTGGTTTTGGGGATGAGGGCTAATGAGCAAGCATTCGTTTCTTGAATGCTTGGTGGGAAGGGAACCTAGGCATTCCTCGCAGAAAAATGTGAAGGCTTTGAGACTTACTTAAGCTTTGAACAATGCATCTTTAAAGGAAAACATTTGTAAACTAGAGGGCTTGAACAGAACCAAAGTTCTTGGGCATTTGGCATAGCTGACTTTATTTTTCCTTTAAAATGTTAATCTATAATAAAAGTGTGATTTTAAAAATTGCTGGACTTTGGAATGATGTTTCCACCTTTTAAGAGAGCCATGGGAAATCAATTGGAGATGAGACCACATTTAATCTTACGGAGCAAGTCAAAAGCAGCTGTAGCCCAAAAAAGGGGGCTGGGAAAGTTGGAGAAACAGCTAATAGGCTAGAGACCAAACCCCCAAAAGCTGCTTACAACCCAGATTCAAAGTTCCGATGACCACATGCACACTAATAAAGGAGAATATTTGTAGCTCTGGGTTGAAATGAAGTGTCTTTGGTGCTCTCTGAGCTGGATTATTTTCTTGCAGACATTTCTAGGTAACATCATCAGTGCGAGTAAGGAGTGAGGTCTGCTCCCAGTTTACATAAGCCAATAGAATATAAACTAAGAGCAAATCCGACTCCTTGCCAGCACTGATAATGTTACCTAGTTTGGGTAAAAAAGCATCTGCAAGAAAACAACCAAGCTCAGAGAGCACAAAAGACCCTTCACATACACACTCCTCTGCATTTACATAACCATAACTTGGGTGCTCTACAACCAGCCTTACTTATAAAATAAAAATGTTTTGCTCATCAGCCTGCATACAGGTAGTCCTCAACTTACAACCACAATTGAGCCCAAAATTTCCACTGCTTAAGTGAGGCAGTTCTCAGCCACATATTGACAGAAGTTACAGATTCTCTCATCCCGTGCAATAAGAATTAGTATAAAAAAATACTATTAAATACTAATAAAAAAATACTATTTACCATTTAAATGTCACCATTTAAAGTTGTTAAGGAAGAAGGTTGCTTCTGAGTCATAAATTTATATAGTTCTTATTCCGTGCAGCTATCTCACACAGGTATGAAATAGCCACAAGTGCCTACAAGTGTGCCAATGCTACACAATGTCCCCCTTTCATACCTCTAAGCAACATTTCAATACAAATACAAAAGGAGTACAGTTTCCATTCTATTGAACTTTGTTTTGGTCACTTGAACCACCCACCACCATGTTCTGCAGGTATCCTCTTGATGCTACAGGAATAGATGATCTTTTGACGCTGATAGTACTTATATTCTGCAAATATATTGTCCTCTCATCAAATTGTGAGCTTAACTATAAAATAGGATTTGGCCAACAAGGTATTCATTTATTTTAAAAAATACATTAGGTTGCTTCTCAGCTCTCCTCCTACCTACTGACTACCTAGCTTTTCATTACACCAGCGTAGCATAGTTTATTTAGTTTGCTTTTGGAAGGAGCTAAGGACAGCCCACCAGCTTTTGTTATTTTCTAAAGTTGCCAATATGGACCCAGGGGGTCTTATCATAAATGGATGCAGTTGAAGGCTGACAATTTGCTTTGCCCACACAGCTGCCCTCCTGGTTTGTTCACCAGCTTCAGCTAAAAGAAACTGAAATAATTGGTTCCTTCCCAAAGAAGAATAAGCATTTGCATGGGCATCCCAGAGTTTTTAAATCCTAGAGATTTAAAATCCAAAATATAATTCATACTGCCAACTTCAATTTATTTATTCAGTTGATTAATTCCTTAAGACTGCAGGTCAAAAGACATGCTGTTCCACTGCTGTAAGGAAAAATAACTTTCAAATGCATAACTAATCATGTAGGAGGTAGCATTAGGACAAATCAGTTGTTGCAGCTCTGATTATTATTTAGGTGACAACCATTCCATGGTGTACTCAGCATTAATCTTCAAAATCTAAATAACCAAGAAATTGAATGCTCTAATGGAATCCAAACTTGGATGCCATAAGCTGTATGTTGTGTTACAGATCTTAACTGTTTATAACCAACCTTAATAATAATATTTGTGTTTCTTGGGGGCCTGATAGTCATGTGGTTTATATTTCTTGTAATTGGCTTTCTGGGCACATTGTAAGCAACAATGTCATTACAATTAAGCCAGTGTTTATGACCAATCATTTGGAGGTAAGCAACTGAATATTTTTGATTCTTGGTGTGCACAACAGTTGGATAGCTGCAGTGATTTATACACACTTCCAATCAAAAGATTATTTCAATCAGCTTAGCACAAAATGGCTAACACAATACTTCTGTTCAATCTAAAAAGCTATACATTTTACTTTGAAAAGTATTTAATTAGCAGTAGGCTTCATTTGGAGATTTCATCCCAAAGTTCACCGTGGAAGCCTACTAAAGTTCCTCGCCACACTGAGGGGTCTTATGACAGCATGCCTCCTTATCTATGATAGCAAATCATCTGACTGTGGAAATCATGCAAAGCCAGAATGCATCCCTTTGAGAAGGTTTATTGTGTGGGGAGACCCACGGGTTGAAAAGAAAGCTATTCATTCTGGTGCCTTCATGCTTTCAATGTTTGAGGTTATAATACACACAAAGGATTACAAACACTTGCCCATCCTGGGGAAGTATGCTGCTTCTACTTACTTTTTTCCAGAAAAAAAATATCTCTGCCAATGGTTTACTCAGGAGGAGTAAACTTTTCCTGGTTCTTTAAGAATTCTAAATGTTGCTATAGTGCACAAACATAATATATGTCAAAGACCTACAAGTTGAAAAGATACAAGTCAGGAGAACTAGATCCTGAAAAAGCTGATCAGTTAGATTCTCTCACTGGCCAAGATCTTTGTCTCTCTTATATGCATTCACATTACACAGTCACAAAGCCCAAATCTCAGTCCATAACCTAAAATAGAAACTATGTCAGAACTAGATTTCCTAATGTGTTGTTACTATCCAAATCAACCAACCCAATCATTGTTCACTGAAGCTTTGGCTTTACCTGGCCTTTAGCCCTCCTGGAGAAAAAAAAACAAATGACAAGTGACTGTGGTATAAGTAAAGGACTACATGTAATTAACTCTCCATGATCTGCACAGGCATATCACTCAAAGGACCCGTACACATCTGGAAAAAAAATTATGTACTTCTGACAGCAATAGTTTCTGAATAGGCTGGACAGTTCCTAAAGTACTGCATTCAATCATCCATGGAAATGAATCAATGAGCATCAAATGTTGAGGAACAAGATGAAGAGTCCAATGCAGAAATGTAATTTAGAAAATGTCAAATGCAATAAAGTTTTGAATACTGCTAAGGAATAAGAAAGGCTGAGCGCAAAAGAATTGAGGCCTTTGAACTATGGTGCTGGAGAAGACTCCTGCGAGTCCCTTGGACTGCAAGGCGTTCAAACCGGTCAGTCCTAGAAGAGATCAACCCTGACTGCTCTTTAGAAGGCCAGATCCTGAAGTTGAAACTCAAATACTTTGGCCACCTAATGAGAAGGAAGGACTCACTGGAAAAGGGCCTAATACTGGGAAAGATTGAGGGCAATAGAAGAAGAGGACGACAGAGAATGAGATGGCTGGATGGAGTCACTGAAGCAGTTGGTGAGAACTTAAATGGACTCCAGAAGATGGTAGAGGACAGGAAGACCTGGAGGAACGTTGTCCATGGGGTCGCGATGGGTCGGACACGACTTCGCAATTAACAACAACAACAAGGAATATTTCACCAACAAAAGAAAAAAAAAAGATCATTCTGGATCACAAGAGACCTTGACATAAGGCTGCAGCGCTTCAAGGAGTGTTTCTGATAGGGAATTATTGTCCAAAGGGGAGAAAGTTCATATTTGTCTTCTCCTAAAGTAAATGTGAACTGAGGTTTAAGCAGTGTATTCCTTTCCTGTCTCAAGGAACCTGGAGCTCTGCAGTGCACAATGCACCCAGTAATAAGAGTCACAGATGTTTTTGCTGATATGAGATAAATACTACTTCAACCCATGCCCATTCCACCCTCCCAATTTAGTAGCTTGAAAAAGACATAGAAGACATATCAGCAGGACAGTTAGGGAACAAATTGGAGAAAGCTGACATTCTACCAATATTAACATATATATGAGATTCCTTAATAGCAAGGCACAGACCTTCCTCTCCTTTCTATTTATTCTTGTATTTGAAATAATTGCTGGGCATTGCAACTCACTGTATGCCTGTGCATTTTCATTTAAGCATCAATTGCTTTCCTGTGATTATTGCAGAGTCAGGCACATTCTGAGCATTGCAGGTGAAATGCAAACAGCACGACAATATTGGTAACAAGAAATGGAAGTGAGGAGGAGGAATTAAAAAATGGAACAGTTTCTAATTCCATTAAACTTTCAATATTTTAATTTAAATTCCTAGGTCACGATGCTTGAAAGGTAAAATACATCTCTGTTATGTGAAGAAACAGTAAATAAAGTAATCTAGCCCTTTTCCCTAATCTTTTTTTCTTGCATAAGGTAATCACAAAGATAGGTTTCCCTTTGTTTCGTAAATTTAGTGCAATGAGCCAAAATAATAACAACAACATATCTCAAACTACCATAAATCCACTGCAGTCATTATCTCTGATCCTTCCAGGATCCTCAGTTGATTCTTGATAAAATAACTTTTTTCCTTGAAATTATAACTGGGAAGTTTAAATGGTAGTTTAGAAATTGTTTGAGGACTTTCTGCAAGTTAAATAGAGTAACAGATCATTAACAGACGGTTTTGAAGTTTAGCTTGTTGTTGGAGGTTACCTATTACCTGTTTTCTTTTACAGTAGAGGGATGGCAGGTCAAATTGGTTGATTGATAATAGATTTTCATACTTGTAATATTTTTAAAGCCATACAGTAATTTAGCAAATAGAGATGTAAAAATTCATAAATTGTGGGCCTGTTTTACAAGAGGTGCCTACCATATCCTTCCTCAGAATGTTCCAACATATCACTTAATCTGGACCACTATCAAGATTACAAAACCGTGGCTTGGCTGCTGTCCAGAAATATGTTTTGTAGGCTATATAGAAGTAGTCCTTCACTTATGACCACAACTGGCTCCAGAATTTCTGTTGCTAAGCAAGGCGGGTTACTCTGAATTCTGTTACTTTTTTTGCCAGAGTTGTTAAGCAAATCACTGCAGTTGTTAAGTGAATCTTGTGGTCACTAAGTGAATCTAGCTTCCCTTATTGACTTTGCTTGTTGGAAGTGAGGCGT